CAGATTAAATACAAACATCGTCTTCTCATCTTGAAGGAAATACATTGCTGTTATAGCTCATGGAAACATCAGAAATGTTTCCATTTTCGTGGTTTTAAAAATATACATACCACAGAGCAAATCTCAAAGTAAAATACATGTTTTTAATATATCCCACTTAGGAAATGGATAATGTAATTTTCATCAGAGTGAAACTTTAGCATTAGTTTTAAGACCTGACATGCAAAAAATCACAAGGGATTGATAGCTTTTGAACAAGTAGCGTAGTTGTGAGGCACACGGAATTTTACTGTCTGGAAAGCCCATTTAAAATTCACTCTTCTTTTTAGCAATATTGTGTCATATATTAGAAAATGCACTAGGAGGTGTAGAAGGCCTGGGATTTGGTTTTAGGGCAGCTGTTAACTGATAGTGTAACTTTAGGTGATTCTATTAACTTTTCTAGGCCTCAATTTCCTAATTTTAAAAATGAAGGTGTTGAACCACATGGTTTCTAAATCCCTAAATATCCTGGGGACAGTTTTGAAACAGCTATTTAGTACACGAAGGTTAACAAAGAAGAACTATCCACTCTCCTTTCCATATTAATTAGTGGAAATCTACTGATGTACAAGTAGAAAGTAGAGCAGTATCTTTGAATACCGGGAAGTTTTATAAACATTTTTTTTAAAAATCTCTGATCTATCTTAGAAATAAATAGAAAAGAGATGTTTAAAAGTCCTGTTATCTAGGAAAGGCTTGTGATCATTATTCTGCAAGAATAAATCATACAGAAAGACACATTAACAAAGACTGAAGAGAGTAATAAAATAAAACAGTGTGCTCATCCACCCGTATCAGTGAAAAGAGGCAATCTGTTTTCGTACAATTGAGTTGAACAAAAATTTTACTTAGGAATACTGGAGCTACTAGAGGGAGCGAATGGTCACCATCTGGAGCTAAGAAGTCTCCTTCTGTAATCATAATGATGACCTCATCCACAAGTGGCAGAACATAGTAAAGCACTTATCTTTCATTCCACAAGGTGGTGTGTTTTATGTAGAAACTAGTTGGGTAGTGTTTTTATTCTGAATCGAATGATGTGCTTTCTAAGTGCCTTTTTTTTTTTTTTTTTACTTCTGCATTGATTGTACATCACTTAGAATCTTGCCTCTGGGTTTAACAAACTGTCCAATGCTGATGCTGATAGATATATATTCCCAAATTGGTAACATATGCCCAGATTTTCCGTATTGCCCTCCATCAATACACTTGTGGGTGTATTCTTGACCCTGGGTCAAGTTCTCTCTGGGTGAGAACTCCGAATGTGTTCCCCTTCAGCAAGATCACCTACTTTTGGGGTTTTCCCACTGTGATTATGGTTTAAAAAATTAAACATACTTCAGAGAAAGGGTATCCTTTGCCTAGTGTAGTATGTGCATGAGATATAGAACTGAATAAGGTCTATGACAAAAATATTAGAAGTTAACTAAAACCGGAGTTGAAGAGCAACTGCTAAAGATTTCACTAGCTTTAACCTCTAAGAATTTACCTAGGACTTTCCAAATACCTGAGATTCTGTCTTTCCCTCTCTTCCGCGTAACACGTTCAACTGAGCCCCCTCTCAAATAATTATTCTCAAATGGGGTTCAAGATTAATTTCAAAGAATCTAGGTTAATAGTGTTTGATTTCTAACTCTTTACATTCCCTCCTATGTGTTTGTTTCAGATCCTTCTGTAAACTGAGCATCAGCGGTAAAGTATATTGGCCCTTCATTCATTTTTTCACTCATTTGTCAAAATACTTACTGAGCACCTTTATCGTTAATTCATTCTGTTAAGCACTGAGGATTTAAAGAAACAGAATACATTGTCTCCCAAGAGTACCACTTTTATTATACTTTTTCCAGTGCTGGGAATCGAACCCAAAACCTCATGTATGCTCGGTAAGTGCTCTACCACTGAACTACCCCTCCAGCCCTGCTTAAGGGTCATATTAGTGATAGTAATAAAGTTCATATTCAGCACAGTAAATTAAATCAAGTTTTTATTTAAAAATAATTATTTTGAATTATTTTCTCTACTATTTTCTGTTGTTGATTTGAGGCTATTGTTTCATTTATTTTCTGCTCTCCTGTCTTCAATATAGTTTAAACTAAGAGTCATTTATAATTTCAATACCACAGCTTGATGGAAAAAATTCAGTAAATGCATTTAAGCATTTTACAAGTTTTAATTCTTATTTCGTTGTAATTTTTGCTCTAAGATAACTTTATATTTTCCTTGTATGCTTGGGTCCTAGAGTGCTAGTAAAATGGGAGAAAATGGTCTCTTGTCAATAGGTCTTTGGGAAATGTTATTTATTTAGAGAGGATTATAATAGGATGAGCTCAGAGATCAGGGGACAGCACACACTGCAAAAGCAAATATAATTACAAACAGGACACGTAATGGAGGGTTTAACTGTATATACAACAGAAATGAGTGCTCACTCTCCACTCTAGGAGGGCCTCCTTGTCTTGTTAAGAGTGTCCCTGTTGAAACACAAAGCAAAACCAGTGATCAAATGCTTTCCTAAGCTAGAGATTACTCAGGTGTTTACCTTTAACAGGTTTCCCACTCAGGGCATAAAAATGGCACATCACAATGAAAAAAACCATTCTGTGCGCTGAGAGAAAATGATACTGCTAAATGGAAAGGTAATTCTTATTCAAACTAAAAATGCCTCTGTCTCTTTCACTGAAATGGAGTCATCAAAACTTTCATTATTACACTTAAGCCAGTAAAAGGAAGAAAGAATAAAATATTCAGAAGTAAAACATGTCCATGCTTACACCGTTTCAAGTTAGAAATGGTTGGTTATTTTTTCTTGAGGATCTATTTCTTTTGTTTTTTATTAGTGTGCATTTGTGACACATGATAGTTGCATTTGACTTGGGGAATTGGTATATTTGTGTATTTTTTTCTCTTCTTGATCATTCTTGATCCTGAATCCCTCTCTCTTCCTTTCCCTCCCTTCTTCTTTCCCCTGTAATTATCTTATTAATCTGCTATGCTTTAAATTTCTAAGTACTACAAAAACTACATCGACTCTTACGATACTTTTTATAGCTTGTTAGTGCCATTGCAAAGACTTCTAAGACTAAGGAGAAATTTCAAATAATTTCACTGAGTGCTTACAGGCTGGTTTGAGATATTCTAGCTGAGACATTTCTATCCTATAGGCCAGATATATACTTCTGGAACAAAGGGAATACTTCAAGACTAAACAGGGTTCTGTGCCAAAATAGGCAATAGATGCTATAGGTCAGAGCAGAGAGGTGTAAAACCAGATCCAGAGCCAATCTTTGAATAAAGGGCTGTGTTGCTACTTAAGTGGCCGCACTGGTGTTTGCGGCAGAGCGCTTCCCTGTGAGGTGTGTGAGGCCTCGGGTTCAAGCCCCACACGCAAAACAAAACCAAGTGGAATCCAAAGCATTAATTGTGATTTTGTACTAAATCTATGTCAGTCGTTACTTTGGGATCAGGGAAGGTAGAACAGTTACTGTTCTTCTTCAGCTAACTCTGAACACATAGTTACCACACTATCCTTGCACTCGAAGGCAGTTACTTCAATAAATAAGACGGCTGCAACCCTGTTTGTCAGATTTTCCCCAAATGAGAGATTTTTAAAAACTCTTTCCATTCCTCAGGAGCAAATCTTACAACTTAGAGAAATGACTGGCAGTTTTGTGGGTGGGTAGGTGGGGAGCTAGAGGAAAAAAGCCTTGGGACAAATGCCGTGCAGATTTCTACCTAAGTCCCCCTCCCTTTAACTTTTTTTAGAAACTGATTAACTCATTCATGAATTTCCAATGCGTTCTTTTGACATACGGTAAGGGTGTAAACATACTGACTTTATTTAGGGAAGAAGTAACTGATGGATTCAAACAGTACCTCAGAATTTATTCAGTAACGTCAAAAGTCACAACTTCTTTTTATCACTTCGGATCCACAAAATTGCGTCAGAGGAAGATATATGCTTGAGCGTGATTGCTCCCAGACATGCATTTTTCTTCCATCAAGGACCTGAAATAATACCAAAAAGGAAACTTGGATTCTTGCGGGGTTTCGTGGCAGCCTTCCAGGATGACTTCCCACGGAAGGTTCCGCTGAACCTGTGAAACACTAAGCACCTACCCCGACGCCAGTCATTTTCTCCCTGGCATCTGAGACTCGGATTCTGCTGCTGACATAGCAACAAGTTTAACCAGATAGCTTGTGCCGCTTTTTTCTGGATGAGGAAGGGGGTGGTGAGTGGGAGAGGATGAGAACGAAGCTGTGAAAAATCAACAGAATAGGAGGACTTGCTGAATAATAGAAGAGCTCTAGTACCGCAGAGAATGCTGCTCTGGCACGTCAAAGCACATTTGAGTTGGATGTAGAGGAAGTACAGCCTGGAAGGGAGTCAAGTCCTGCCAGGGAGTGAGGTCTTCATTGCTTCTCATTAGGATGAGTCCCTCCCGCGCTGGCTGGCAGCTGGAGACACGGTTGCTCTGTTTCCTTCCCAGCACGAGAGGCCCGGGGATGAAATCAGAGATCATCTGCCTGTGAAGATGGGGAAAGAACCCGTTTTTACTGCACAGATTTAATGTGATGTTGATGGTAAGTGACATGATCACTGAAAACAGATGTCATCTGGAGTCGCCGTGATTGATGTGCAAATCTCTGACAGCAGAAACCTGGGCTTGTCAGTTTGCCTTCATGGTTGTCTTAGTGAGATCCAATCAGCAAAAGATCCTCTGCGTTTCAAACGCTGCAACATGAATCACGCTGACAGAGGAATAAAGCGCTCTTCTAGCTGGCCTTGTTGTTGCAGAGTCTAAGCAACAGGGAGAATTTCTCTAGAGGTGAGACTCAGGAATTCTGAAATCCCCTTCACAAATTCTTTTTTTGAGTGAAAAACATTTCCTAGTATCCTTTTAGATGGTTGCTATGACCTTTAAAGTGTTCGCTATTCTTCCAGATGTGTGCGACAACTTCGGTGACGTTGGGGTCTTTGTGGAATGAGGCATTATGGTTCTACGTGCTCTTGTGTGAGTTTAGACGCTGCCAAGGTACAAAGGAAACACATAACCCTGCCATGTGTGGTAAGACAGGGGCTGACTTAAATCAAGAGACCCCTCAGGAGGCAGCCAGAAGAGTCTCGCCACCTGAACTAGGTTTGGGACACGTGTGCAGTTTGGTTTTCGCTGGTGTGATCTGATCAAGCAAATCAAAGGAATGAAGTATTTATAAACTCTACAGTAATGGTATTATTTAGACTCTCAGAGAACTATGTAGTATCCTAGGTATTAATCATACAGGATGTTGTAAAGAAAAGCACTTGGCAAAAACATGAGAAGTGAGGGCACTGGTGATACGGCATGGAAGAAAGGCATCTGAATCCAAAGACCGTACAGACTTCATCTCAGCGGTAGGGTAGATACTAATTATACCTTCTCGATTTGTTTTAGGTTGATTGGTTCATTTACATTTGTGTTGACAGCATTTATTAGGTATTTCTCTACTCTAAGAGCCATATATATTTTCCATTAATAATTTTGAAAATAGCTGGGCGTGGTGGCACATGCTTATAATCCCAGCACTCAGGAGGCTGAGGCAGGAGGATCGTTGTGAGTTTGAGGCCAGTCTGGGCTATAAAGTGAGCTCAAATCCAGCCTGAACTGCACAGTGAGACCCTGTCTCAAAAAGACAAAAAAAAATTTTTTGAAAATACCAGAAAAAACCATGCCAGTAAGGTGTGATGGCACATGCCTGTAATTGCAGCTACTCAAGAGGCTGAGGCAGGAGAATCTTGAATTCCAGGACAGCCTGAGTAATAGAGCAAGACCTGTTCCAAAAACAGAAAGAAAAAGAAGATAAAACTACTCCTATTTTAGTACACAGAGACAACTACTATACTTTTCTATGCAGCTTTTAAATTTTTTTTTGGTACTGGAAATCGAACTCAGGACCTTGTGCTTACCAGGCAGCAGCTGTGCCACTGAGCTGTATCTCCAGCCCTAAATATTTTTTAAAATATGCCATATACATAATTTTGTATTCTACTTCACACTATAATCACATAAAATATGTTTCATGCTCTAAAATTTTTATTAGCTACGATAATAATCATCACATTAATATACTGTGATATCCTTGGTTTTTTTTTTTTGGTACCGGAATTGAACTCACGACCTCGTGCTTGCCAGGCAGGCACTGTGCCACTGAGCTACATCCCCAGCCCTATACTGAGGTATTCTTGACTATTTCCTTATTGATGCTTACACTTTTATCATACTAAGAAATACTGCAATGAACATTTCTCTGCAAACTTTTATACTAGGTCTCAGTTTGTTGATCTCATTGGCTCCCAGACATTGAATGTTTAGGTTAAACTATAAAAGCCTTTTAAGAGACTTCAGATAGAAAATGTGAAATTGTTTTCTGGGATGGTCGCTGCGGTTTACACTCCCCAGCGCAGTGTGATAGCGCTTATTTCATGGCTCCTTTGCATGGCTGAGTTTTGAAACTCTCTTGAGTTCAGGAAGCGTAGTGAACTTTGGAAGGAGATGGGGTTGCTGTGTGACCCTTTGCTTACCCCCAGTGCCTCCCAGCCCGATTTCTTTGTTACAATATCAATTACAAAACACCTCAAAAAACTATTTGGGAAAAAAGTAGTAAAAGAAATGGAAAATAATTTGTAATTTTAAAAAAATTCTTTAAAAAATTTCTTAGCATCTGCTGGGCATGGGATTATGCTACATACAGTATTTTTAAAATGGAGGATACCTAACGAATTTTAATTTTTCCTCTAATGATAGTATAGAAATGTAGATCACAAGAGAGTGAAAAGCTTTGATTATGGAATCAGGAGACACATTCTCTACCTGCTTTTTTACTAGCGTACGTTTGACCTTGGGCAAATGATCTAACCTGTTTGGGGCGCTATTTCTCTGTCAAAGAGGGTGCTGGATTATTCCTAAAGTGATTCTGACGCTAAGATTCTTTGATGCTATCAGAATCATTTTTCTCAAAAAGAATTACTCTTCTAACTACTTCTTTCAAAATCCAAGTGGACAGTCCCTGCAATATTTATTTCCAAAAACTGTCAGTGAGTTCAAATCTACATTGCTACACTGGGGTAATGGTCATATTTTTCTCTGGAATTACTTTAAAGAAATATCATATTGAGGACATAACCTTCACCTGATCTTTTTGTCAGTGAAACAAAAGCAGATAAAGGGGCTGGGGATTTAGCTCAGCGGCAAAGCGCCTGCCTGGCAAGCGCAAGGTCGTGAGTTCGGTTCCCGGTGCCGGAGAAAAACCAAAAAACCAAAAACAAACAAACAAAAAAAAAAGCAGATAAAAGTTATAACAAGAAATCCTTTAAAACTATAAATGCACTACAGAATGTGTCAAATCATACCCTAAGCTTTGAGCTATAATGGTATTGGTTTCAGTGGGAATTTCACACAAATATTAGAAATCAGAATTTGAGTCTTATAATTACAGCCTAAAAGATATCCTACTCTAAACAGATAACATCATCTTTTTGTGTATTTCACTTTTGTATTATGCTCTTAAATATGGTGCTAGCAAGGAAAAAAGCATATGTTATTTGTAGGAGGATTTTATTAGTGAATATTTAGTTAAATGTATTTTTAAAAAATAATAGCTTTACAGAGATAGAACTCACCTAACATAGAATTCACCCCTTTATAATATACAGTTGAGTGACTCTTCCTCAGAATTGTTCAACCATCTGCACGGATGTATTTTTAAAATATAAAATGAAAATGTGTAGCCAGTACACCAAGTTCTTGCTTCTGTTTATTGGATTTAGTTTTATATGTAGATTGTTTTTTCTGTTCAAGATCTCACTTGATTTTAAGAATTTAAACCAGGGCTGGGGATGTAGCTTGGTGGTAGAGCACTTGCCTAACATGCGCAAGACTCTCAGCTCAATCTCTGGGACTGCTTTAAAAAACAAAACAAAACAAAACAAAAGGGCTGGGGATATAGCTCAGTGGCACAGCCTCTGCCTGGCAAGCGCAAGGTCCTGAGTTCGATTCCTGATACCAAAAAACAAAACATGTCCAGAGAAAAATAGCTGAAGGCAATAGAGGGGTAGGGTTAGTAGTTGTATTTTCTCTTTAAACCATGAAAAACAAAACAAAAACAAATGAAATGTGCTTATATCTCAAGAAAGAGTAGGTATGAAATATTTCCATGCTATCTTAAGAATTTTATCAGATCAGTAATAAAAGAAATCATTGGAATTTTTTCTATTTATGCCTTTGCTTTGTAATAAGATTGCTAGCAGTGTTCTTTCTTGACTCTTATAAACAAGTTGAATAATTCTACACTGATCATCTTTCTAGTAATATATACTATTACTGGAGCTATAAAAACATGATGTTACCATTTTAAAATTAGATAAGACCTTTTATTTTTCATACTCAGTAAGTTTTTTTTTTTTTTTTTTTTTTTTTTTTTTTGGTTTTTCTCTGGTACCAGGAACCGAACTGACGACCTTGTGCTTGCCAGGTAGGTGCTTTGCCGCTGAGCTAAATCCCCAGCCCCAAGTTTTCTAATATGCCATTTTATTTTCCCTTCTCTAATCATCTCATAGGAATTGGATGGGTTGTTAGAAATTATTTTCACACTATCCAATTTGAGAAATTCTTATCCATTTTGCAGTTGGGAAGTTTGAAGTAAACCTCTTGCTAGAGAAGTGGGGGGTCTAACAGTCTTTCGAGGACCTCAGCACAGGGCTGAGTGACAAAAGCCTGCGCTCTAACTGTCCCTGCAGATCACTTGTGGTGACCTTGATGAGGCAGTTTAACCCTTACATGCCTTACTTTTCTCATCGGCCAAATGGCAGTAAAGATGGTTCAGTTACATGGTTGTTTATGACAGCCAGAAGTAGTTGTATGACATCAAGCAATTGTATTATGTTCTGTCACTCAGAAAGACATCAACAAACTTGCATTTTTAATATGACCGCTAAATGTTCTGTTATCTCTGCCCACATGTGGAAAATTGTTTGAACTCTTAGTCTAAACTGTACAGAAACACTGCAGAGGTACAAATAACTGAACTCAAATTGTGATAGTTTAGAAAGATTGCAAACACTGATTTTTGTTGTTTTGTTCAAGCATTGAGATACGGAGGAAGCAAATTTATCCTGATGAAAATAAAATGATTCGCATTGAGACATAAGAGAAATTTCTAAAAAGTGAGATAGTAGTAGAGGTCAACTACTTAGCTTGTAGAGAAAGAAAATGCCAAGTTAAACACTGTAAATGTTAGGCATGAGTTTTATCTTTGTAAAACTTGTTGGTTATCTCTGGAAATGTGTGTTTTGTCAATGCAATGTATATATTATTTGGATGCTAATTAAGAAGGCAGCACCATCCTAAAGAAAAACACCGTCTGTGGGCTTCTTATTTCCTTCCACTTGCTGTCAAGGCAGGAGGGACAGGGTGAGACCAAGGCAGAGTGGCCAGGAGCAACTCGGTGGGCATCTGTTCTCAGCACCCCCATGGGCGGAGCCCCCTCTGGTGTGCATGACTGTCTCACAGCTTGCACCCAGCTGGACCCGGAAGGGAGTTCACATCACTGCTCAAGTACACGGACACGAGACTCTGAAGCAGTTTTTGTTTTGTTAGTGTAGATACTCCTCATGTAATGACCCGTTTAACGACCATTCGCACTTACGACCTGTCTTCTTGTTGTTGTGCAGTTGTGTACATCTTGTTGACCAAGCCTCAGTGTCTTTTCTGGGGCACGGTACACCTTGTTTGTAGTACAGTAATTTTTGCTGACTGAACTGTACAGTACAGTATATCATTTTATGCCCTGTTATACCTTACAGCACTGTATGTATGAGTTATGCAAATAGAAGCAAAGTCATCAGGGTGGAGTTTCCTTTGACCATTTCTTCTGAGTATTGACATGGACGTACATACAAGTCCTCATTTAGCGACCAGCTCATTTAACGACTTAGTTGCAGGAACAGGACTCGGGGGCTGCGAAACAGGACGTGTCCTAACGCCCTCTGGTGCAGGGAGCTGTGGAAGTTCAGGAAAGCTCCCGGGGGCCGACGCATCTTCTACATGAAATTTCTGTTAAAATGAAACTAAAATGGTAATCACAGGAAACCTCAGCCAAAATTCTCTGAAGCTAAGGAGCACCTCCTTACTCAATGAAGCAGCTTGCCTGTGCTCCTGGACGGCCTTGGGTTACCAGAGTGAGGTGCAGGTTTTCATGACTTCATCAGGGCACATGGACGACTTGGCCTGTAGGTGGCAGCATCGCACTAAGGCATCCTCCCGAGCGCGCGAGGGCTGATTTGTGGGAAGGATGCTAAAAGCCCTCCGGTGCCTCGAGGACTTGTTCACCGCAAGAAAAGAGTGCATTTGTTGTTGTGGCGGATAAAAACTTTCCTTGACTCTGCAGGCAGCTCCCTCGACAATCACTGTGATCAGATTTATCCTCAAAGCTTCGCCAGGGTCCCCACTTGAGAGGCTTGGGAGACACGGTGAATGTGTATTTTATTAGAGCTTCTGAGAACACCAGTTGTAGGGCCTTTGAAAACACAGATTTGTCAGCATTTCACATTAATGGGCCTTTTATTTGTTTGTTTTTCTTCCTGATTTATAGACAGCACCCCATTATAGAGGCAATATATCTTCATTTAAATAACTTCCAAGTTATTTATGACTGGCAATGACTTTGTGGCTGAGGTATTTTACTTTGTTTTATTTTTGTTATCAGGTTCATTCTGGTGCTAGTGACAACAGTAGAGCCTAAAATAAAAGCAGCTTAACAGAGTTCTCTGGAGGGTTGAAATGATCCGAGTCAATTTTGCGTGACAGATTCCAATTTTTCAGAAAAAGCCCCCTTTCACTAGTAGCTATATTATAACTTCAGTTTATAACAGAAGAAAATAATCCATAATCAATAAATGGTGAAAATGCGTTTTATTTTGTCTTATTTTGTTTAATCCTCGCTACCACTCTGTTAGTTTATGGTGCACCTGAAAAAGTGAGCACAAAGAGATTTAAGGACTTCAAGTTGTCACATTTAATAGTAGGGAAACCAGAGGGAGATGCAGGTTTTTAAAACTGTGAGATGAGTTTCCTCAGATTGATTACAGCTACTTCTCTGAGGAGACAGGCTCGCAGGTCAGTCAGGAACGCCCCAAGGCCGGGACGTGTGTGTGACATGCAAACACTTGCAAAGGGGTGGTGAGTGCTTTTAAAATAGTGTTTCTTCATCCATTCGGTAGTTATTGTTCCCTGAAAATAGTGTGTTCTCCTTCCCTAAAAGGCACTTCCCTTCCTTCTCTATCTGACAAGCTCCAACAAAACCCAACTCATCTTTCAAGGCCCCGTTTTAATGTCACCTTGCTTGGTGAAATCTTCCTCTGTCTCCCTGGGTGAAATTCCTATTTCTTTCTTTATACCCCCACAGAACTATTCCTTCCTTGATTTATGCACTTATCATTTTTAGAAACTGCACTACACAAACTTGATTTAACAAAGGCACTAGTCAGATAGGCACTTAGGTGAAGAGAAAAACTGACTAGAGAACTTCAGTGTGAAGCACCTGACAAAACCTCTTTGCAGTTGCATTTCATGCAGCTCTGCCTCTGTGAAGAAAACAGCTCTTTCACAGGGATGGATGACCGATGTGTGTATTTTTCAGGTATTCACTGACTCCCGTGTAGTACACATACATATACACTGATCTGACAGTCCCCAGATGAACTTCCTTTTTGCAGATCCTTGGAGGAAGACATCTAACGAGGAGACTATGTGGTTCTCACTCATAAATCATGCAGTGAAGCCTGCTAGACTCTAATGGATGCCAGCCCTCCTCCATCCCTCTTCTGACATTAGATGGATTTCCAGTACTTTGTTGGAAAGCTATCTGGGTAACATGACGTGCTGGTACTACTAGTGTTTGTCAAAGTGCTTGTCCAAGTAGTAGATCTGCTTGTTGGGCCATCCTACCACACACCAGCAGGGTAGGAAGAAGGTGAATTCTAAGAGTGACACATCAGAATTCAGCTGGGGCAAGTGCTCCACTGAGATTGTCATTTTATTCTTTCTTTAGCTGTGTACATTTATGCTTGTTAAAGTGGAAATTTTTTTCATTCTCACTTTAGGGTATGAAAGTCCTTAGCAGTTCCTCATGCAGCTCTGCTATCTAAATTCACAGAGGCATCAAAAATAATAAATCAGAGCCAGATGTAGTAGCACACACCTGTAGCCCCAGCTACTTGAGTGGCTGAGGCAGGAGGATTGCAAGCTCAGGTCCAGCATGGGCAACCTATTGAGACACTGTCTTAAAATTTTAAACGGGCTGGAGACTTAACTCAAAAAGGGGTGGGGAGTAAGGAGAAAGGAACTTACTAGTGGTGACAAGCACGCTGATTCTAGCAAAGAATGATAGCTCTCTGCAACAGAAAGATAAACAAACATATTAGATGTAAATATCTAAAAATACCAGCCTGGAATTATTTGCTGTAGAGTCAAACATCCCATTTATGTTAGTGGGCACTGAGGCAGCACTGTTATTGCACAAACAATATAATTGGTACTAAGAGTAATGATCCTGCATCAGTAATGAAGAATTTACAATTTGTTCTATACAGCCTTACATCATTATGAATGGTGGCATGAAGACAGACAGACAGATCAATTGTGTAGACTTGAGAGTCCAGAAACAAACTCATGTGTTAGGACAACTAGATATTCACAAGTGAAAGAATGGAGTTAGGTCCCTACCTCACACCATATACAGAAATTAACTCAGTGGAATCAAAGACCTAACTGTGAGAGTTAAAAGTAGAAAACTTAGGTGTCAATCTATGATATTGGATGTGGCAATAGATTCTTAGATATAACACAAAAAGCACAACAAAAGGAAAATATAGATAAATCAGTCTTCATCAAAGTCGAGAAGTTTGTACATCAAACTATACCATTAAAAATGTGAAAAAAAAAAAAACCTAAAGAAGTGAGAAAATACTTGCAAATGATGTTTCTGATAAGGAGCTAGTATCCAGAATATATAAAGAAATATTACAACTCAACAGCAAAAAGACAACCCAATTTTAAAATGGGCAGAGGGCTTGAATAAACAATGGTCAATAGGAACATCAAAAGATGCACAACATTATTTCTCCTTGGGAAAATGCAAAGACAAACCATAGTGAAAAAAATAAACAAATAAAATGAAAAACTTTTAAACCTACAATGAGCTCCTACACACACACTGGGATGCCTCTACTATAAAAAGAATCCTAAGTGTTGGCAAGAATATAAATAAATTGAAAGCCTTAAAATTTCCCTTCACAGCAACATTTTTCTAAAGCCAAAGAGTGAAAACAACCTAAATATTGGTCAATGAGGGATTTAGCATTTAGCATTTTTCTATATTGGCTTCAGTTTTGCATCTCAAGAAGTCAAATAGTACAGGTACAAAAGTGCAGCTCTTTTATACCCCTTCTGGTTTCATGTCCCTTCCTCCTCCTCCCAGGGGCAGCCAGTATCTGGAACTTGGTAAATGTACATCTGTCTTATTTACTTAATGTTTAAATCCATACACAATATGTAGTATTATTTTGTGTGGCTTTAAAATTTTATGCAGAAAATATCATACCTATCCCACTGCATTTTGCTTTTTCAGTCAGTATTTTAAGTATATTGTAAAATATAATACAATATAATATAATTTTAAGACATTAAAAATTCTCACTAAAAAATGTCTCCTAACTTGGTCTCTCTCTGTTCACTGTTTTACTAGCTTCTAGTATTGCCTCACTTAACTATATCAGCAGTGGAGAGCTGTAATAATCAAGGCAATGTATGACATAAAAATAAATCTATACTTCAAAAATATAGTCTATCTTCTGTGTATTTTTCTGTTACAAGTAGGATTGCAGAATTTAAACTATAGGGCACAAAACATTCAAAGAAAAATGTGATTAAAAGATACAGCAAGCACAGTACTCAAGAATCTTTACTTAATTACATTTCAATTTCTGGAGGACATCGGCCAGATATGTAACCAAGCATTTTATCAAAATTAACACTTTTGGGGGCTGGGGATTTAGCTCAGTTGCACAGCGCCTGCCGGCAAGCGCAAGATCATAAGTTCAATTCCAGGTGCCGGAAACAAACAAACAAACAAAAAATTAACAGTTTTGAGAAATGCAAGTACATTCAAACTGTTTAAATGGCTTGGGAATACAAGTGTGTAGCGAGCCCTATCATCAAATGTATAGGCTAGATCATAAGCTTATCTAATATCTATACACAGCTGTGTACTTGTATCTTTAGATCAGAACTTTCCATGTTTGTATTCACAGAATAATTCCTAACCTTAGCAGTATTTACTTGAGCAACCACTTCTCTGAAGAATGTCAGTGTTTGATGCTTTTATACATTCTGTAAGTGCCCCATACCCAGTCCCAGTCTAGCTGCTTTTTGTGACTTGTATACTTACTTACCTGAGACAACCTCTCTTTTGACTCAGGACGTGTGTTTGTTCCAACCTGATGTCTGATGCATGTCTCTGATCCTCTTCTTCCCTCTCCTACTCTGTCTCTTTTTTTATGCTCACATTGTCAGCTACAAGGACTCAAAGAGGGGCATTTGGCTGGAGTTAGAATCCCTGGCACCTGAGCCATTATGTTGGCGATTCACGTGGTGCATCTTTCTGGCTAAACGTTCCCCATGATCTCATTTAATAACAGTATTCTCTTGGGTGGTATTTTTTTGTGGTTGATCTTATGCTTAAATGTGGGTTCTTATTTTTCTCTGTGAATCACTGAACCAACATAGGTGTGGTTGGTTATTAGGTAAACACACAGGAGATAAAGAAGTTAAACCTGAACCTGTAGAGACATTTTATTTTCAGGGCTTCTCGTAAGGACTTGCACATTTATAGTATTTCTTTCTGACTTCTTTTCACGGTGGGTGTTGAGACTAGAAAAACACACACACACAAATAAGCAAAAATATTGAAATAGGTAAAGGTAGGTGGGGAATGCTTCCCACCAACAACTCAAGACGTCAAAATAAAAGTTTGCATTTGATAAACAAAAATGCACACGAAACACTTCAACGAAAACAAAGATACTTAATAGGTCTCAGGTAGAGTTAGTCACCATGACTTTGTAATTCCTTACAAAATGTGCTTTGTCTTTGAACTTTTAACTGAAATGAAACCTGGGTTAATTAAAATGCAGCTTCTTGGCAGATCAGCACATTTAAAAATCTGGGTGGAGAAGTCAATTTCAATGTTAATCTAGGGTGTTTGAAACGTCTTTTAGCTTTAAAGTGCTTGAACGTATCCAACCTCCCAGCTCTGTGGAAAAATAGGCGTTTGTTAAGGAACTTTTCAGCTTGTTTTCACTGTTAGTTTCATACAGATAATAGTTCCTAGCAATAATTGTTTCTGTGAAAAAAAGTTCAAGGGAATTAAAGTATTTTTGAATAAGCTCAGTCTACAATTTATATAGAATGTAGTACTATTCATCTGTACTGTCTTACTCATAAGTAATATTGTTTGATCATTGTTAAGATGTTAAGTACAAGATCAATGATTTTGCTGGGTAATACCTTGCACTTTCAACTGAATTCAGTGTTTACTTTGTCATTCAGTTTTAATGTGGTAGAGTCATAATACATAAAAGAGAACATTCGCCGGACCCATCTTTGGGGTTACACCCATTAACACAAAAGTTGTAATGTTTTCTAAAATGCCTTCATTTAATTACCAGTTATGCAGAACTTTTCACAAGTTGCACTAATACTGAGTCACTTGAATAAAAACCCAGCAGCTTATACAACAGAACAAAAGAAGAGGGCAAGAGAAG